GGGGGAGCAACATAGGTAAAGAAAATGGTCAGAGGTTTGATAGGATCTTATGTCCAAGGCTGTGGAGCCATTTCCGGAGATCTGTTAGGTGCGTCTGAGGGTAGGGACATTTGTATGCTGTCCAAAATGTATGAGCAGCAGTTACGGTATACACAAAAGAACTACAACAGTTCCATATTTCAGGTAGGCTTAGATTCCCAAAGCCTGGAGTCCAAGCCTATATTTCTATTGAATAGTACTGAAAACTATTGCAGGCTCATCAGCAGGATTTGGATTTATACATACCGTATTATACTCGTTTAAGCAGCGGCGCGCTTTAAATTTCAGATGCGGCACTTATTTGGGGGCGGCACTCTTTAAAAAACCTTTTATTTGTGAATTATGACAAAAACTTTTAACTACAAAATAGACAAGTTTTAAAAGGTTTTTGTCACTAAATATCCCAATTTTGACGTGGAAAGTTTTTAGTGCGGCGCTCATTAGGGGGCGGCGCTCTTTAAAAAAAATTGATCTCAAATGTGGCGCTCATTCGGGGCGGTGCTCAATCGGGGGTGGCGCTCAATTGAGTAAATAGCTTGATAGGGACTGGTAGCAAGTCTTGTCCAATTTAAGGTCATAGGGCCATTCCATTTGATATCCACCCCCTCTCCCCCTATCGAAAAAGTCAATAAAATTTTAACCCCCAAGAAAACAAGATCAAATTAGTGCCGACACAAAACCCCCTCAGAAAAATCGCATAAATCAAAGGATGCCAAATTGGCTTAACCCCTCAGAAACAACGTCGAGGTTACCCTTCAGGAAAACTCGTCCATAGGGGGTGGGGGCTGAATATTAAATAGCATGGCCCATATTTTATAGTATAAATAAGGTAGTACCTTCAGTTTTTTGTAGCATTGCAAGTACCCAACAAAAGAACCTAATTCTAAAACCTTTAGAGCTCTTCAATTGCATAACCAAACAATATTTCCACTGCGAATGGAGTTGTATTTCACAGACAAAAGGACGAACTGCCAGTAAATGTGGAACCGTCCTGTCTTCAAATTTTAAAAGGTAAGAAACGCTTGATATTTTATCGCTGTTGTATAAATCTTCATACTGTATGTGAAGCTTCTGATAGGCTTTAGTTTGCGAATGAAACACTTGTCGACTCATTGGAAAACGTAGGACAATATACGCATTCAAATTCTCCAGTAAATTATGTAAATATCAACAATCATATGTGAACAGTTTTATAATGGCGGCTTCTTGCAGATACTGTATTGCCATTTCAAAATCCCGTGGTTCGTTGCAATGTTCAGTTATTTTATTGTGGAACGTCCATTTCTTGAAAGCTTGACTTTACTATATAATGTTGTATTGATAGTCTTTAAAATCCCTTTCTTCCAAAGCAGATTAACACGGATTTTAATATATGAAAACTTTTGAGGTTTGAGCAAAATTTGCTAAATTGTGATTTTGAAAGACAAATATAAACAAAGTGAAGGAAAAAACATATTTTGCAAACCTATATGAAGAGTAAATTCATACTGGTATTTCAGTTGTCAGGATGGCCGAGCGGTCTAAGGCGCTAGACTCAAGGTAGACACCTTTCCAGTTATACTGGAGTATGGGCGTTCTAGTCCACGAATGTGGGCGTGGGTTCGAATCCCACTCCTGACACGTTTTTGTTTCGTCGGTTTTTATTATGCAAAATCTTTTTTTTTTCAGTTTATTTATCTTTTAAACACTAGTACATGCTTTTCATACGCGAGTATGATTTGAAATACCAAGAACAAATTACAAACTTCGAATAAACGATGATAATTTTAAACCTACTTAGTCTCGCCCCAGTCTTTTTGTCCGCACTATTTCCTGCAAACGGGCATGCAGTCTTGGGCTTTTCACTAGCCCGCGTGCAGGCCCAAGGGAGCAGGCTGAAGGGAACTTGATAGTGGGCCTGCAAGCAAGGCCCGGTATTTTGTACTTTCCGCGTTCGCCCACGAACGCGGCATTCTGATTGGCTGTTTGCTGTTGGATTCTATAATAGGTCAGTGATTCATCACAAAGGCATAGACAAAGGCTCTCGACAAGCTTAAAATTCGAAAATTGATCACTTTTTTCGATTACAAATGGAACAAGAACAGACTGTTTATTGTTTACTTGAAGGAAGAGATGTTTTTACCGTTATGCCAATGAGGATTGCTTGTCGTGAGGTG